GTTTCAGTTAAGAGATTAGTGTCCAGCATAGGGGGTTTTGGTTTGTTTTTAAATAATTATGGTAAAATCTGGCTTTCCACTTGCAGGCCATTTAAGTGTTCCAAAATTGACATGGTTATTATATACACTCTAAATTTCACAGTGCTTCATGAGAATGCTGTCTATCTGTATGTTTTGTTCTTCTGTCTTTATGCCCCCTTTCCCAATCAGCATTGCAATTAATTAAAAAATAGGTTCCAACTTTTTAGGCATAGGTGGAGCTTAGACTGAGGCACTAATCATACATCTAATGTCAGTTGTTCATAGTATCTAGTGCTTAGTACTATACATCCCTTTGAAGATGCAATGCTGAAAACATTAGTCTTAGGATTTGGAAGTTCAGGTGAAGTGAACTGATCTAAAGAAATGTATTCTTTTAAAAAAAATCAACTAAGAAGGTTGAAACAAAGGACTTCTTTTCAGTAAAGATTTTTGAGAACAGTCATTGAGGTGGTAGGATGGGCTCATTGCTGCTGAAATCGTAGTCTACCTCCACACCCAGCCTTCAGAATATTTCCCCTCCCCACCCCATTACAGCAAGGAAGCATGTTAAAAGCTTTGCTCCAAAATAAAGAGGGCCCCCTTCCTTTTCTTTTTTATTTTTAACAGCTCTAAGATACCTATATAAAGTCCATAAATTTACCTTAGCAAAAGTGAAGAATATTATCTGAACTTCTATACAGGACTAGCACTTATAGACAAGCTTAAAAGGGATTACAGAAATTTATGGATAACAACTCCATTTACAGCTGAAGATACAGTGGTGTCAGTGCAGTCCTCAAGTTAGAAAATATGTAACTCATAAATCTGAAGATGATAAAAATACTAAAGAAAGGATCACTATATACAGGACCAGGTTCTTTAATGCTTTCACCAAAAAGGGCATGAAAATTATTAAAAGAGAAAGATTTTATTTTTTTTTCACTCACTCAGGCCTTCTCATTTAGTAGAGCTTAAAGAGAGAGGACAGAAAACTTATGTTGTCTGAAAAGCTGCCTATAAAGGCAAAAAAGGAAAAGATTTTCTCCCAGGTAGTTTCTGACACAAATGATTTCGGTTTCTTCTGATTTCCAAACCAAGATTTTGCAGGTAAAATTGAGAAAGTGTTAGGGATGGAAGGAGGAACAACAATGGCTAGTGCAAACCAAATGCCCTCTTCCAAAGGGGAAGAGTGTGAGGAGTTCTGCCCCTGAGGAGGAAGGAGTGGCAGAGACAATGTGTGATGAACTAACCGCAACCCCCATTCCCTGTCCCCTCCAATCTGCTTGGGAGGGAGATGAAGTAGAAAAAATTGGAAATGAAGTTGAGCCTGAGAAGAAGGGAGGGGTGGAGGGAAGGTATTTTAAATTTAGGTTTTATTTCTCATTATCCCACTCTGATTTGATTTGCAATAAATTAAACTAACTTCCCTGAATTTAGTCTGTTTTGTCTGTGACAGTAATTGGTGAGTGGTTTCTTCCTGTCCTTACCTTGATCTGAAATCCCATCAACACAGCCTTATGTCTAACACAACAGTAACACACATACTAGTTGTATCTGTAAGACCTCAGCTATATCTGTAAGTTAAAATGCTCAGAAACATTTCTAGGTGCTTAAGCCAACTGCCATGGAATAATTCATGCCCTCACTGTTAAAGCTTTACAACAACGCCCCACATCAACTGTGTCAGTTGTAGTCCCGGATGCGTGCCAACACCCAATCTCACCTAAGAACTGCTTAGAGGAATGCTCTCTGATATCAGCATGAATGCCTCCCCAGTCAATACACTGGGAGGTGTGCAATAGGCTGGGAGGGGACACAACTCAGAAGATGACCCAAAATAACCAAAGAGATATTCCATACATATAACTTCATGGTCAGCAATAAAAGGGAAAAGAGGGGGTTTATGGATGCTATCCATCTTTTTCTCAGGAACTGGCTGGGCATTGGTCTACCCGTGGAAGGTGGCATGATTGCCTTTGCATCACTTGCTTTGTTCTGTTCCATTTATCTTTCACTTATTAAACAATTATTTAATTTTTGTTTGTTTTATCTTGACCCTTAAGTTTTCTTGTTCTTATTCTTCCTTTCCTCTTCCCCCATCCCACTGAGGGTGAGGAGGGAAGTGAGCAAGCAACTGTGTGGAGCTTTATCTGCTCACTGGGGTTAACCCACAAAAATTTTCTGCATGAAACTTTTCTTTAACATTATTCTTTTTTTTTTTTTACTTGAAAAACAGACATTGGGAATAAACACTGTCTAACCCTTGAGGGTGAAAACTGTATGCTGTCTTCTTTACAGAGAAAGCGAATCAGTTGATATGGATAACATGACTTTGGACATAGTGTTCAAAAGACTTCATATTTTGCTAAATTAGGCACTAAAGTAAGTTCATGTCTATTACTATATAAAGTATGAATTCAGTCTGAAGCATAGTCACCTGAGATTATATTAAACATCCTTGGATTCAGGATAGCAGGACAAATCAATCGAAGAAAAACAAAGCCGCTGAAATGAAAAAAAAAATAAATTGTTCTGTTCAATAATAAAGTTAAAGAATTAATTTAGTCTTTAAGCATTTAAGTCAGTGTGGAAATCTTTGTGAGACAGATGACAACCAACCAGCCTGTGTTCTGTGAATGTTTAAGAATGCATTCTTAATTAAGAATGTCTCGTTATGATTTCAACTATGATAAAAACAGAAAAAAAGCCAACCCAGGCATATTGATTTCCCAATTAAAGTGAACCTCTGAAACCACCTGGGAAAAGCTTAACTGTAAAGCCATATTGAAGCCTGTTGTCCAAGACCACACTAGCTTTAAAAATGAGGAACACTTAATCTCCTGCCTTCCACAAGTGTTCCACTGCCCACTACAGCAAATAATTCATCCTGCAGCCAATGGCTTCCCCAAGCCAACATATGGAGAGAAAGAGTGCACAGTCAGAATGGAGCCTCTCTTAGACTTAGTTCAGCTTGGACTGATACATATCCTGATAACAGAACACTATTATCCTAGAAGAATAATACTAGATCAGCTACTTTCCTCACAGAAAGTCACCCAGACAATCTAGAAAGATAGGGAATAGCACTCAGTTTGACTGCAGAACTAGGAACTTATTAAACAGAAACCCAAAATAGCCTTCAGTTTAGCATGAGAAAAATCTAAATTTCTGTTGACAGCTGAAGCAAAAAGGTATCCATCTGAGGTTAACCATAATTCTGTAAGAATGCTACAAAATAAAGTCACATATGGACCAACTAAAGCAATTTAACTCACCTCTCATTTTGGTCAGTGTGTGGACACTACCAGCAGACTGTCTTTTCAGTACTGCAATACCAAAGCCTGACCACTTGCAAAAGTGGACCTTGCATTACCTTGCTTGTTAAGTATACAGTGACATTATTGGTTTAGTGCGAGGTGTCCCTGGCCATGGCAGGGGGGTTGGAACTTGATGATCTTCAGGTCCTTTCCAACCCTAACTATTCTATGATTCTATTATTAATTGGAAGTGCCACATGTAGCAGTGAGGTTAATACACCTTTCATGTATCCAAACTCTTGATTTCCAATATATACTGTTATAGAAGTTTCTTATTTCTCCAAGAACCATGGATTATGGTCTGACAAAACACTCCTGGCCCAATGTGAAATAAAAATATTTTTTGAGATTAACTTAAAGTTATGAGGAAGTAAATAATTTTGAAGTCATGGCACATATATCAGTTTCTCTTGTAGACAGCCTGAACTTGAAGACAACTGGGGTATGGACCTAAGATGGACCTCGCAGATACAGAAGAGTTGATGATTCTTACACTGGTCAAACTGTATAAAATAAGAATGAGTCAATACCTATGCATGGATTTTTACAACCAGACAGAAATGGCAGCAATTTCAGAATGATACAGAATAGAAGCTACCCAGACAACTTAAAAACTTGTCTTTGAATATGCAATCATTCTTGGACCAAAACTAGTGCAATAAAAGATAATATTCTTCACTGTAGGCTGCAAAACCCCCTGTACTCTAGAAACAAATCACAAGTATCCACTTATGAAGGCTAAGATGATGAAAGGGACCAATATTTATGTTATCCAGCAGAGACCCCAGGAAAACTGTGAATGCCAGCTGTATTCACTTAAGGAAAGCCATGTGGCTCTTCAGAGATGGGGAGGAACAGAAAGATTTGCTTCTAAGTTCTACACACTTGTAATAGGCTAGCCCCAACACCTCTGATAAGAGCAGCCTCAATCTGAAGGCAAAACTCCTGCATAACACTGTTGGCTGGCATTTTATTGAAGATATTTTTTCAAGAAAATCTTGAGTCACTATTGTTACAAACACTAAATGACAGGGAAATAATCATGGAAGGCACTGTATTAATTACAATAACATTTACTGAAACAAGGGGGGGGGGAAAGAGCATCCATGTCTTAATTTCTGTCTCCAGCCAAAGTGATAAACGAAAGTCAATGATAAATCATCTGGAAGACACTGCTCAATGGGAGATTAACCTCAGGAAATCATATCAGTGCCAGATACTGGTCTACCAGCAATCTACGCTTGCAAAAAACAGGTAAAGCAAATGTAGGAGAGATGTGGCTTTGATACCCTTAAACCTCCAATATAATTTAGAACAACAGTGTGAAGGCCTGATTTTTGTTAAAGACTTTTTTTACCTGTACTGGCAACTGATAGTGTTAAAGGAAGAACTATTTATTCGATTGATTTTTTAAAGCAGACTGGAGTTTTTGTAATCAGTGCTAGTCTAGAGGAGACAGGTTCAGTAGCCTGCAACATTTTTAAAGAGGCTATGGAATGTTTCAACATGATTGGGCTGGAGCAGAGAAATGAAACAAAACTGGGACAGCATAGAGATACATATTTTCAGAAATTAACACCGTGTGGTGATTCTGAGTGGTCAGCACTGGGAATCTTCACTAATGCAGAACTATACAATCCAATGCAGACAGTACCTCATTGAAATCTAATGACAGTCCAATCACCTTTCTGAGAAGGTGTTAATTTCCTTAACATGTTATATCTGCATTTTAAAGGACATTCATCTTAGCATGTGTAAGATTTTTCCAATAATTAACACATATGTCATGATTTAAGCCCAGCCAGTAACTCAAAACCACTCAAAACTGAGGGAAGTGAGTGAGTGGCTGCATGGTTTTGAGTTACCGGCTGGGCTTAAATCACAACAGTTCTTTTTGGTGGCCAATGTGGGGCTGGAAGGGTTGAGATAACGACAGATCTGAGCAGAGTGTGTCTAATCATATTTGTGATAAGCATTCATTGTTTTGGATTAATAGTCACTTGTCACAATGTTGATTTATTTTCTCTCAGAGTTGTTGTGCTTGGTCTCAGAGTTTCAGCATGTCACACCTTACTTGCAGCCAGTATTTGCTGTTTTAGTGTTTATCAGCTGGGGGGAGTTACCTGGAAGGCCCAGATTGCTGCTTGGTTTGGGCTGGGTATTGGTTGGCAGGTGGTGAGCAATTGTATTGTGCATCACTTGTGTTTATTGTTTTCTTTTCCCCTTTTAGTTTTATATTTTCTCCCCTTGTTATTACCCTTATCATGATTATCATTGGTGCTAGTAGTAGCTGTTTTGTATTATACCTTAGTTACTGGACTGTTCTTATCTCAACCCATGGGATTTACATTCTTTCAATTCTCCTCATTATTTTGATTCTCCCATCAAAAGAGTGGGGGAAGGAAGAAGGGGGGGAATGAGTGAGCAGCTGCATGGTTCTGAGTTACAGGCTGGACTTAAACCACGACAACATACTACATCGGAGTCCCTGGATAAGGCATGGTCCTCCCAGATGGCATGACAGGAACATTGTCTTCAGAGGTCACTGCTCTCCAGGGGTATCACAAAGGTTAACTAACACTTTGAGAGAACTTTTTCTCTTTCCCAAGATGAAAAAGGAAATCATTATTTTAGATTAGCATGTAAAACTTAAAAAAATTCAAAGTTAAAGCTACTAAGTATTGCTATACTGACCTCTATAATACACCCCTAGCAAGGCTCCAACAGCATGACTAAGAATCTAGAAAGCTCTCAATCCTTAATTGGGATATCATGACACAGTACCATAATAACGTTACATATTCTTGTAACCTATATAAGGTACTATAAAGTTTTGGCACTAAAAGAAAAAAATAGATAAGGACACTGAAGTATGACAGTAATAAGACATTAAAAGATTATTTTCAACATAGAATAAAGTGACAAGTAACTTACCTAACAACTCTTGTTCTCATTGTGGTATTAGCTGGCCACTTGCTTTGAACAGACTTTTGCAAGCATCCGTAAATATATCTCAATGTCCTGTAAAAATAATAGCTAATTAATAATTTTATTAAATCCCTTCATTGAAAAAAAAAATGGTCAGAAAGGATCTAGTCCAACCTCCTGCTTAATGCAGAACTATTATCAATACTAAAATTATGATTCAGACATAATCTTTAAATTATTTTAAAACCTGCTATGAGAGTCCATTTACCAATGGCAAAGAAAGTCCTTGACTAATACACTATTCTATTTGTGCAGGTAAAATTATGATAATTCACATGTGTGTTAAATGCTTTATGATAGTTTTTTCCTATTACTTAGGTGGTGTTTCCTTTTAAAAAATGAAAAAAAAAATTTTGGTGGCTTCCCCCCCCCCACTTTTTAACTGAACAAATAACAACTTGTGCATCCATAAATACAGGTTAGGTGTAGTTATGAAATAGTCCTCTCCTATCAGAAAATGGGAGTATTCTGGTGTATTTCAGAAAATGTTAAGACATGGACCATATACTTAAAAGACTGAAGATTTTAATGCTAACCTTGCCATCACTGACCCAGAAGAATTTTCGGTGTTAATCTGCCATTCTGTGTTGGGTTGACCCCAACCAGCAGCTAAGCCTCACCCAGTCATCACTTGCTCACTTTCCCTCATCATGATTGGGGAGAGAATCAGAAGGCTAAAAGTGAGAAAACTCGTGGGTTGAGATAAAGGCAGTTTCATAGGAAAAGCAAAAGCTGTGCACACAAACAAAATAAGGAATTCATTCACTACTTCCCATTGACAGGCAGGTGTTCAGCTATCTCCAGGAAAGTAGGGCTTCATCACGTATAATGGTTACTTGGGAAGATAAACACCATAACTCCAAATGTCATCCCATACCCTCCCTTCATCCTTAATTTCCTGCAATTTTATTGCAGAACACAACATCATATCATATAGAATATCCCTTAGGTCAGTTGGGGACAGAGCTGGGACAGCTCTGTCCCCTCCCAACTTCTTGCCTACCTCCAGCCTGCTTGCTGGGAGGGGGGGAGGAGAAAAAACAACCCTCAACACTGTGCAAGCACTGTTCAGCCAAAACATGGGTATATTATCAACACTGGTTTACTCACAAATCTATAAAACACAGCACCATACAGATTGCTATGAAGAAAATTAACTCCATCCCAACCAAACCCAGTACAAATCTCCACCCCTTATTCCATACCGTTTGCATCATGCTTGGGTCCTACACTATCCAGTACATCATCATTAATAACCCCCACCCCCTTCCCATCCTTTAGTATACATACATATATCATTCCCTTAGTCCATGCCCCCCCCCAGTGTCCATAAAATGTTCATTGAATTAATTTAATCTGTAACTTGGGCTCCATTTGTTATGGTGGTCACTCAGGACAGAAGAGGTGGTGCGTTGTGTGGAGTCATTGGGCATCAAAGCCAGTTCAGAATGGGTCACTGCTGCACTTGCCCAGCTTCTTGCAGAGCTCATCCACCATTAGTTCAGGTGGTCCCTGTTATAGTATTTCTTATAGCATACAACTCAAATCATCATTTAAACATATCCATTACAGTCTTCACCCCTGGTCTTTTTGGACCAGGCTATAGAGTTTAACATTGCAATGAACTCCTCCCCTTGCCCCCTGCTCCAGCATGAATCCTCCATGGGCTGCAGTCCCTTTGGGGGTATACCTGCTCTGGTATGGACTTACCAGTCACTTTGACTCCAGCTCATACTGGAGTTCTTCCATGTTCAGTACAGCTACACTCAACTATGACATGATTTCATTCAGGCTACAATAGTCCACTGTTAGTCTCCACCCTCCATCAGACTTTTGCAGGCTATATGGAACTATTCAATGGTGATTGAGTCTTGCTGATCATTCCTTGACTCTCCAGTTGATGAATCAATTCATGGAGGGGAACCAGAGAGTCTTGGTTGTTGTGTTATTACTGCTGGTTCAATGTTATGGTAGCAGTTAATACCTGCTGCTCTTCAACCTACAGCAACCTCACAACAGAAAGGGTCCTGCAAGAGGTTGGGCAAGGTAGACAGCTGTTTAATCTTCTCTGAATCCATGTCTGCTACAACAAAGGCCTGCTTTTTGGAGTTCTTGAAGTACCCTGTCCTGAAATAGCTTATGCCAAAGATACATGGAGCCTCCAGGCCAATCACAATAGGGTGCTTCTACCACTTGTCCCCTGTAAGCCCATCACAGCCTTCAACACAGGTAACTGCTGGGATCCCCTTGTCACTCCAGAAATCCGGATGGGTTCTACCCCCTTGGACCCTAATGGCATTAGGCTACACTGTGCACCCATGTCCACCAAAGCCTTATATTCCCATGGGTCTGATGTGCCAGGGCATCGAATCCACACAGTCCAATAAACCTGGTTGTCCCTTTCCTCTGACTGGCCAGAGGAAGGATCCTTCCCTTCTTGGTTGGAGCATTAATTATCCAGCTCCTGTGACTGCAAACCAGAACTCCCTTCACTAGGATCAGAAGGAGGATCAGCCCATGCTGGAGCAGGCTCCTGGCAGGACCTGTGATCCCATGGAGAGAGGAGCCCATGCTGGGGCAAGTTTTCTTCCAGGAGCTGTGGCCCTGTGGGGGACACATGCTGGAGCAGTCTGTTCCCAAAGGACTGCACCCTGTGGAAAGAACCCACGCTGGAGCAGTTTGTGAAGAAGTGCAGACTGTGGGAAGGACCCACACTGGAGAAGTTCATGAAGAACAGTCTCCCATGGGAGGGACCACCCACACTGGAGAAGTTCATGAAGAACAGTCTCCCATGGGAGGGACCACACACACTGGAGCAGGGGAAGAATGCGAGGAGGAAGGAGCGGCAGTGACAACATGTGATGAACTGACCGCAACGCCCATTTCCTGTCCCCCCTGCACCACTTGGGGCAGGGAAGAGGTAGAGAAAATTGGGAGTGAAGGTGAGACCATGAAGAAGGGAGAAATAGGGGGAAGGTGTTTTAAGATTTGTTCTTATTTCTCATTACCCTGCTCCAATTTGATTTGCAATAAATTAAACTAATTCCCCCAAATTAATTCCCTGCTTTGCCCATGACAGTAATTGGTGAGTGATCTCCCCCTGTTCATATCTCAACCCATGAGCTTTTCATTATGTTTTCTATCCCCTGTCCAGGTGAGGAGGGGAGTGATAGAGCATCTTTGGTGGGCACCTGGCATCCAGACAATGTCAACCCACCACACGTGCAAAAAGCACAGTTCATTCAAGTGTTGATGTTTTGCTTTTTTGGTGTTTGTTTTTTTTTCTCTGTACATAGAACAACCCTAAAGAAATTAATCTTAAGACTGATTAGTATAAGGTAAACCAATAAGAACACCATTTCATGGTGCAATGTAAATCACACAAACAGGAATTTTCAAGTGCAAATTTGAACAGATTGCAAACTTACGGAGGTAGTATCTCTGCAGCCATGAATATTTTTTCCAACAATTCTGAAAGTATACTGAGTAGATGTGCCAAATTAATGTTTATATCTTCATTTTTTTCTAATTTCGAGGGATTTAACTAAAACCAAAAGGAAAAAATACTGTTTCTTCTCTTGAACAGAACTACATGCATAATTTTATAATATTAGACACCGAATGCTATTTCAAAATAAATCTTCCACTGCTGTACAAATCTCAGAATTGTACAGAAAATACAAATCTGCTTCAAGGGCTAGCCAGGAAACTAATGTGAAAAAGCAATGTTTTTAAGTTCTAGTGCACTGATTTTAACAGCACAGACATTTAACACTATCCATAACTGCCCATCTTTTTTTAAGTACATATATTTTCATATCTTATAATCTAGTCTTCTGAGGACACCCTCCCCCCACCTTTCCATAATTAAGTTCAAGTGGAACAGAAGTCAGGACGGTCATTTTAGAAATAAATATAGGATCTAACACAAGCACTTAAGGTAAGGGAGTTTTAAAATGAAACTAAGTTCAGACATTGACTTTAGTATATCGAGCTTAACACAAGTTATTTAGGGTAGACCATTCAGTAACTGCTGCAAAGAACCTACAATTGCTAAAGAATAAACACATAATTTAAAGAAATTTTATTCTAAACACATATTTAAAAGTGATGCTATGAACATTGTTTAAGGTAACGTTTAGAAAAAACTCATAATCAGTTCAGTTCCATTATTGAAATTATTTCTGAAGGATTAATAAATGCTTCCAAATAAAACAATAGGTAGATCATCATTTCAACAAATCAAAATAAAAAATATTTCAAGGTATCACCTCACAGGACTGCTTGCTCTCCATTATCTTTAATATACTGTCTTTCAGTGCATGGTGAACAAAACGTGTTGCTGTGGTTTTCATATATTGCTCCATTAGTGTACTTGCTAAAGTGGTGGCACGAAACAAAGTAGTAGCTTCATCTGAAAAAAATAAAGTGAAAAGATGGGAAAATGAGACAACAAAAAGCAGAGGAAAAAACACGCTGTGTTCATAGTTTGATATATGATGTAATTAAGGAAGGAAGCAGAAACAAAGATGTAGAAGCCCTTCCCAGAACTTCAGTAAATGTTAGTGCAATTGGAACAGTACCTTCCATGCTTATTTCCCTGTCATTTAGTGTTCGTAACAATAGTGACTCAAGCTTTTCATGAAGAAAAATCTTCAATAAAATGCCAGCCAACAGTGTTCTATCCTGTCCACAAACATGTGATAAGGCATAGACTACATGCATCTCTTTCTGGAGTATAAGCTGAAAAAAACACGAATAATGTTCAGAAATGTGTCCTAACATAACAGTCACTACAAATACTAATTAGCGACATTTATTAGTGTTATTGAAATCTCTCTCAATCAACAAAGAAAATTAATTTTGACAGAAAAACTGAGGAAATAAATTTAATACCTCTTTAAACTCACAGTACTCCTCTTCTGGCATGATCTTCTCCATAGAATACCGTGCTCGAACACGCAAAGATCCTGGCTCAGTACCCTTCAGTGGCATATAGGAACTGAGCTGAAACCACTCGTCTGTTGCATGTCCTTTCTGTAATCGGCTGAATTTGCAACGCATAAAAACTTTAGGAAAAAAGGCATGGTTATGTAGGTTATGTCCAGCAAAACAGTGCTATTATTGAATAAAAAAGTCTGTTTTCAGCACATCACCTTGTTTCAGCAAGAGTATTAATAAAAAGAATCAAAATTTGTGCCATGAAGTATATTGACAGATTATCTCTTAAATGCTTTCAGACTCCTGAAAACTGAAGCTGAAATATAAAGCATGGGACAGGTCTGAAAACAACAGAAAAGTACTTGGAACAAATCTTGTGTGGGGGAGGGGTGGGGCGTGGGTTTGCATTGCAGGCAATAGAAAGGAGGCAAAGGGCTGAAGTTAAATGACAAGTATGGTGGGAAATGAAATACCTTGAAAGCAAAGAAAACAACATTGTGTGGCTCAGAATCCAGGTGTGGGGTTTTGGGGGAGAATTTTTTTGGTTTGGGTCAACTTTGGGGGTTTGTGGGGTTTTTTGTTGGGTTTGTGGTTTTTTTGTTTGGAAAGTTGATATGTCTTACCATCTTGCTAGTAGTTTGCTATAACAGAAAAATAGAAGCAAAACAGCTGAACAAGGAAAGTAATTGTTGTGGTTTAAGCCCAGCTGGTAACTGGGCACGCACCCACTCGCTCACTCCCCCCTTCTCTCCCCCTGTTCCTGGAGGGATGGGGAGGAGAATCAAAAGAATGTAAATCCCACAGGTTGAGATAAGAACAGTCCAGTAACTAAGGTATAATGCAAAACTACTACTGCTACCACCAATAATAATAATGATAAGGGAAACAACAAGGGAAGAGAATACAATTGCTCACCACCTGCGACCGATACCCAGCCTGACCCAAGCAGAAATCTGGGCCTTCTGGGTAACTCCCCCCACTTTATATACTGGGCATGACAGGTTGTGGTATGGAATACCCCTTTGGTTAGTTTGGGTCAGGTGTCCTGTCTTTGTTTCCTTCTGGCTTCTTGTGCCCCTTCTCCCTGGCAGACAATGAGACTAAAAGTCCTTGATCAGAGGAAACATTACTTAGCAAAAACTAAAAACATCAGTGTGCTATCAATCAGAGTTGTTCTCAGGCTAAAGTAAAAAAAAACAGTACTGCAGCAGCTACTAAGAAGGAGAAAAAAATTACCGTTACAGATGAACCCAGGACAGTAAGCTCTTGAGAACACAGATCAGATAGAATGGGGGGGAGAACAGGATAACAGAGGACTGAGGCAAATTTTATTCTACAGACCGTCAAGATGTCACACTGGATGTCCGCACACAGAATTGTGTCAATGGCTCAATGTCCAATTGGAAACTGGTAAAGAGTGGTGTCCCTCAGAGGTGAGACAAAGGGGCAGAAAATCACAAAATGGAATATAGAAACCTTTAGAATTAAAGTAATTAAATCAAGCATCAAGTAGAAATGGGAAATTATTTACAAAATACTTTAGACGGCAATGGTAGTATATAAAGTGCTGCAAAAGAATTTGCAAAAGGAAAGAAAAAGGGGAAATTTGAGACAAGGGGGAGCACAAAATTATAAAATGAAATATATAAACCTTTGGAATCAGTTTTAAGTAATGTTAAGTTTGATGGCTTTGTAACAGTAGCAATGGAAAATTATGTGCATGATACATAGAGAAAAAAATAGAGTACAGCTAGCGAACATACTGAGAATTCTCACAAGATAAATCGTTATAGTTGATATAGTTTTAAGAAAAACAGTCTAGAAGAACAGGAAACAGGAATAAGGAGTATCTGGGAACCACAGGTGTCCAGGATGGGCTACAGTTAAACTAACTAATAAGTAGGAGGATAGGAGGATTATTATGTCTCTGGTGCTAATGAACCAATTAAACTGGTATGAGCATCTACTGCGCATGCTTCAAAGGCTGCCAGAAGTGATGAAGATTGTTGGAAGAAGTAAACGACCCTCAGAGACCACCACCACAATTCTGTACGCAAGTGGGGAACTTTCTGGAAAATGATGTAATGCATACGTAGCCTCATGAATATGCATGTATGCCCAGGGACTATAAAAGGACAGCTTGTGTGGCAACTGGGGGACACACGTTAGGAGGAGCTATCCCCCGAGTCTCCCGGCGCCGCAATAAAGAATACCTGCTTGTCAGCTTGAAAACTTTGTTGGCAATTTTCTTCCTGGAGTTTTCTCCAAATCAGAGGTCAGTGTTGGGACCAATCTTGTTCAACATCTTTGTTGGTGACATGGACATTGTAACTGAAGTTTGCCTACGGCACTAAGTTATGTGGTTCAGTTGATGACACACTGGAGGGAAGGGATGCCATCCAGGGGAATTTGGACATGCTTGAGAGGTGGGCCAATGCTAGCCTCATGAAGTTCAACCAAGCCAGGTGCAAAGTCCAGAACCTGGGTCAGGGCAATCCCAGGCACAGCTACAGGTTGGGCAGAGAAGAGATTCAGAGCAGCCCTAAGGAGAAGGACTTGGGGGTATTGGTTGATGAGAAATTTAACATGAGCCAGAAGCGTGCACTTGCAACCGAGAAAGCCAGCTGTATCCTGGCCTGCATCAAAAGAAGTGTGACCAGAAGGTCAAAGGAGGTGATCCTGCCCATCTACTCTGCTCTTGTGAGACCCCACTTGGAGTAATGTGTTCAGTTCTGGTGTCCTCAATGTAAGAAGGACATGGAGCTGTTGGAGCAAGTCCAGAGGAGGGCCACCAGGATGATAAGGTGGCTCAAGCACCTCCTGTATGAAGACAGGCTGAGAAAGTTGGGGCTGTTCAGCCAGGAGAAGAGAAGGCTGCATGGAGACCTCATAGAAGCTGTCAAGTATCAGAAGGGGCCTATGAGGGTGCTGGAGAGGGATTCTTCATTAGCGGCTGTAGTGACAGGACAAAGGGTAACAGGTTCAAACTTAAACAGGGGAAGTTTAGGTTAGATGTAAGGAAGAAATTATTTACTGTGAGGGTGGTGAGGCACTGAAACAGGTTGCCCAAAGAAGTTTTGAATGTTCCATTCCTGGCAGTGTTCAAGGCCAGGTTGGATGGAGTATTGGGAGACATAGTTTAGGGTGTGATTTCCCTGCCCATGGCAGGGGGGTTGGAATTAGGCAATATTAAGGTCCTTTCCAACCCTAACTATTCTATGATTTTTATTTATTCAATTTTAATTGACGAAAGTACCTTCCCACCTCTTTCTCACTGGAAGCAAAAAAGAAAAAAAACCCAAAACAAACCTGAAAAGGACACAATTAATCCCACACAGTTGATCTTAAAACAGATTAAAGAAATAAACTTAATGGAATGTAACATTACATGGAGCAGATTAGTCCTGAAAGATTCTCTTTCCCTTTTTTTTTTTTTGGGCGGGTGGTGGTGGTGGTGGTGGGTAAACATGGTCACGGTATAACATAACAGGCATACTGGAATAGATCTATAAAAGCCGTCAGGTACATAGGATTGTATTACTGTGCATTTTACTACTAAAAAACATGCAGGTTCTTATTGTAAAAACATTAGTGTCAGTAACAGATATCCAAAACATACTAATACAGCTGTATAGTAATCACAGAATATACTCAGTTTTCTTGTGACAATGTTTGACAAGAGCACTGAAATTGTTGCAATATAAATGCATTTTTTACAGAAAAAATACTTACGTATATCTGGATCTTTACTTTTCTTTGTTTTGTTGCTAAGACTTATCTCAAAGCTATTAATATCAGATGAAAGATCACTAGAGGAAAAGACAGAAAGCCTCAGTTAATACTAAACTTGGCCAACATTTAAACTTATTCTAAAGTTACTTCAATACTGAGTTCTCATGATCAGTCAAAGACAATTATATTAACAAAGATACTTACATGCATACATAAGATTCTACCCATGCATTTATGGCCGCTATATAACCATGCATACAATATTTTTTAAAAGCATATGCAAAACAGTACAGCATAAAGAATCTTAAATGAAATGCAATTTTAAAGTGAAATTCAGTAATTCAATAAGATTAAGACTTACTCAAAGACAAATTCTTCTGACCATACAGGGTTTTGCCCTTCCCTGATATGTGTTTTTGCTACCTGGACACTGTTCAGGTAGATGTTACAATATGGATTAGTAAAATGTTTTACTGGGAGCGTATGAGCTTCTTCTACATGTAAAATAAGACTGCTGACCTAAAGAAAATACACAAAATTAATCTTTTTATTTTTAAAGAAAGAATGGAATTTCCCCCTATGTGAAGGCTTAATGTTAAGGTATAAATATTAAATACAAAATATAATTTCCTAATAGAAAGAGCAGGGAACAGGAATAATGGACAAGATTTTAAGAGGCACCAGTGACAAGAGCAACTCAAATAATGTGAAAGTAAACTTCCAGCACCATAATTTTAATTCGTTTTTTACTCTCAAAACCATCGCTACGAGACGTTAAGATTTGCAAGTACAATCTTTTCTATGTATAGAAAATTCTACTGAAGTCAAAGACTTGTATTTTGAATAAGAGACATGGGCAACTCCAAACACAATGCCATATTTGGTGCTTTCCTAACAGATTAGGCTCAGTATGAGTCGGCAGTGTACCCTGGCAGCCAGGAGGGCAAACTACATCCTGGGGTGCATCAAACACAGTACGACCAGCTGGTCAAAAGAGGTGATGATCCTCCTGTATTTAGCATTGGTGTGGCCTCACCTTGAGTACTGTGTGCAGTGGTGGACCCCATGTTTTAAAAACTACATTAATGCATCCAGAAGAGGGCAACAAAGCATGTCCTATGAGTGACTGAGGACCCTGGGTTTGTCCAGTTTGGAGAAAAGGAGGCTGAAGGGTGATCTCATTGCACTCTACAGCTTCCTGAGGAGGGGAAGTGGAGGTGATCAGGTGCTGATCTCTTCTCCTTGGTATCCGGTGGCAGGATGCATTGGAATGGTTCAAAGCTGTGTCAGGGGAGTTTCAGACTTGACATTAGGAAGAATATCTTTACCAAGAGGGTTGTCAGACACTGGAACAGGCTTCCTAGAGAGGAGGTTGATGCCCCAAGCCTGTCAGTGCTTAAGAGGCATTTGGACAGTGCCCTTAATATTATGCTTTAACTTTTGGTCAGCCTTGTAGTGGTCAGACAGTTGGACTAGATGATCACTGTAGGCCCTTTCCAACTGAAATATTCTATTCTATTGTAAAGAACAGTAGATTACATAAAATTCCCTTTTTTAATACACTACACTGTTTTCTCCCTGCTAAAAGTAAGATATTAATCTATACTATAGATTCTCAAAATAATAGCACTTGGAAGATCAATTTCCAGAAAATTAGAATTCTCTGAAATAATTTATATTAAATAAATTTTAAACAGTCTACTATTTTACAAATTCCTGAATTGTATGCAATTCATAGCTTAATCAAATATCTACTGATATCAACTGAAGTCGGTTTAGACAAATACAGAAAATATCATACTTGATCAGGTCAAAATTCCATTTAAATACAATTATTCAGTACCAGAAGTTTCAAAGGACAGTTCAAGACACCCTGAAACTGATAAAATTTCTGTAAGACAATAATGAAAGTATAATTTTTGATCTTTATAGTTATACACTTTATCTACCTTGATCATTCATGCTTTTTATACTTTTCACCTCTCTAGATAGTCCAATACTTCCCACACTTATTTACTTGGAAATTCTTTTACATATTCCATCCTATAATGAAAATAATTTTCTTATTTCCTTTACGCATTTTGATATAAGATAATCAAAACTAACGGTATATTAAATGAGAATACCATAAATATTAAATAGAACCTGTTTTCTGTTCTATTCCTTCATGCAACCTAACACTTTCTTTGCTTTTGAAAGTACAGAATTAGTTCAGATGATCACTCCGTAGGTGCTTCACTTTTGTGTCTCCCAATTTATTCTGCCAGTTCATATATCAATTTACCTAATTTAGTTTGGTTCTTCAAAAGTATTCAATCATCTTTAATGCTGACAACAGAATAATTCTGTGTTTCCTAAAAAATAATAATAATTTATTCATTTTTCCACACACTGATAAAACAGCTACTTCCAACATTCACAGCATCAAAAGAGGGGATTCTTGACTCCTATTATTCTTCAATCATTGCTGATGTAGCTATTTATGACTAACTGTCCTTTATATCTGAAAGAAATTCTGGCCACAACAGTACTCTCAAGAGACCAAAAGAAATAACAGCATAATCACAGTTCAGCATGTATTTGTCACTGAAAAATGAATAATATTAGTTATGCTAGTATTTTGGTTACATGTGACATAATTCTGTCAAATATAGTCAACTGTAAGAGTTAAGACAATACAAATACTGAATTCTTGACATGTTTACTCAAATGTGGTCAGAAATTAATACCTAGCAAAGGATCTGCCAATTGTCTAAAAACATTTTGTTCTTATGTATATAGATATTATAATAAAGCAGAAGTCATTCCATTTGGTTTAACAAAGATACTGAATAAATCCAAGAAAAGAAAGTACAAGAAGGATTTACTATTGTTGAAAGGGAAGTTCTGAGATGTATCATCAATTTGAAACAAGTATCTGCTTCACCTGACGTAGACGTTTATTTGATATCCCTGGACTGTTTTTTCTTAAATTGCAAAATATCTGCAGAGCCTTCATCCAGTCCTAAGAGAGAAAGACAGAAAATAGTGTAACAAAAACTCAGATTCAGGTTCTTGCAGTAGAATAGATGTGTCTAAAAAATATAAAATAATAATACATTAAAATATCTGAAGTTGGGTTTTTTAGCTTAAAAAGAACCAACTTGCATTGAATTCAAAGTATGAAAATTTTGAATACTAAAGCAAAATTCATTGTTTTTTCAGGAAAACTAAATAAACATTTGCAAATTTGAAAGTTTCTCTTTTAGAAATATCAAGCATTACTAATGGATATAAAGTGTGACCTTTATTAATTTTCCAGATTAGTCAGATTGAATTCAATAAAAAATGGTATATAAAATGAAGCAAGACTTGGTTAATTATGAGAAAATAAAAATCAACAAGTCCAACTGTTCTGATCATTCTCTCCTCTATTTTTATATTGCAGTTGTAGTTTACTCCATATGGTTGAAACAAAAACAAAGCAGCATTAACAGAAAAAACCTGAAAACCACAACCTACACTCCGATTCTCTTATCTCCCAAAGATATAAAACAGAGTAGA